ACTCCTCTTACAGTTTTGGTCTGATTTCAATATGACTTGGCACACAAGTAGACTACACTAAAATCCATAATTCTGTATATCGGTTTTTGATTTCGATAAAATGTGTTGCCATGGTAACTAAAAATAGACATTTCCGTGAAATTCTTACAAAATGCTACTCGTCTTACAGTTTTGGTCTGATTTCAATATGACTTAGCACACAAGTAGACTGCACTAAGATACATAATTCTATATATCGGTTTTTGATTTCGATAAAATGTGTTGCCATGGTAACTAAAAATAGACATTTCCATGAAATTCTTACAAAATGCTTCTCCTCTTACAGTTTTGGTCTGATTTCAATATGACTTGGCACACAAGTAGATTACACTAAGATACATAATTCTGTGTATCGGTTTTTGATTTCAATGAACGGTGTTGCCATGGTTACTAAAAATAAAAATTTCTGTGATTTTTTTCAAAATGCAACTCCTCCTACAGTTTTGGTCTGATTTCAATATAATTTGGCACACAAGTAGATTACACTAAGATACATAATTCTGTGTATCGGTTTTTGATTTCAATGAACGGTGTTTCTGTGGTTACTAAAGGAAATTTCTGTAAAATTGTTTCAAATGCTACTCCTCCTACAGTTTTGGTCTGATTTCAATATAACTTGGCACACAAGCAGACTACACTAAAATCCATATTTCTGTATATCTGTTTTTGATATCGATGAATAGTGTTGCCGTGGTTACTAAAAATAGAAATGTCTGTAAACCAGTTTCAAAATGCTCCTCCTTCTACAGTTTTAGTCTTATTTCGATATAACTTGGCACACAAGTAGACTACACTAAGAACATAAAGAGATTTTATCAAGGATCATTATTCTATTTATTGCTGTTTTTAAGTTTCGATTCCCAACTGCTTAAGTACTTTTCTCTTCCTTTGCTATAAGTACAAACCAGTAGAGCTTCAGTCTTGACAGAGACTTCTGGTTTATTAGCAGAATAGCTCACCTGAGCCGAAGGCTCAAGTGAGCTTTCCTGATCACATTTTATACGGCGTCCATCTGTGTAGCTGTCTGTCCGACAGTAAACTTTTCACATTTTCAACTTCTTTTGAAGAACCACTATTATTAAACTAATATTAACAAAGCTTGATACAAAGCATCCTTGAGTCACTCAAGATGGAAATCGGGTGTTATAAGATAAATATCATGCATCTATATAAAGACATATATATAACCAAAATTTGTCTGAAATCTACCTTAAAAATATTAATAATATTTAAAATAGGAAGAATAAAAACATGACATTGTCCTTGCATATTAAACAAAAAAATAAAACAATGTAATCTAAAGTAATCATAAGTAATCATGATTACATGAAGGAAAAGTAATCAGATGTAATAGACTCTATTCACGCACGCGCTAAAGTTCGTAGCGATAGCGAGGCTGACCTGACAAAAAGCACATGTGCGAGCAGACGCTGAAAATGGACGGCCATGCGAAAACGGGCTCCGCGGCTTATTGTTGTGTGCCGCTTTGTAATGAAGACAGTCGTCGGGGTACAGCAACATCCTTCCACTCTTTTCCAAAGAATCCATATGTACGGAAAGAATGGATTATTAAAATACGGCGAGACGAAGGCCCTGACTTCCATGTAAGTTTTTCACGTGGCTTACACAAAGTTTATCGATTTTGTAGATATAAAAAAATCCCTCACTGAAACATCTTTAAAAAGTTACATATTTTTAATTTTGATGATATTTTCCTTTAATTTCATTGAGTTTTGACATACATGTAGGACCCTTTTAATTTATACAGTGAGGCGATAGATTCCACATCACCAGTGTTGTTTACGTCTAGCAATAGCATGCTAACGGTGCGAGCGAGGTTTCGTATCATCTCGCACTTCATTACATCTCTACACACAATTAGGTTAGATGATTACATTTCGATATAACAACTTTTGATAAATTTTCTAGTCATATAAAATGTGTTTTGGATGATAAATATCTATATAAACGTTAAAATCCAAGCCCAGTTCCAACAAACACGCAGCTTAATTACAGTGTAGTTCCCAACAGAAAAACAACTCTCTTCATAACATCTACTGCCTGTATAGTATTAATTCATATACACTATATCATGATACATGTTCAGTATTTAAATGAATTGATAAGACCTATATATAATTTATAGGTCATATGGGCATCAACAAAAACAAAATAAAATGCCAGCCATAAACTATTCTGACAATCGGTATTCCCTTTTGAGAATATACACGCAACATTTGTAATCAGGATGTCCAGTTCCTTTCTGTTTAACTATGAACTACTTTTCATCAAATTTTGTCTAAGAAAAATTCTTTTGTTTACAATATCCTAGTTGATTTATTTTATGCACCAACTTGAATTTTTTTTTTCTCTCCAGCAACCCCTTGCATAGTCCCTTCACAATAAGTGTGGTACTACTCTTTTTCAGGGCAGAATGCTATTTTTTGGTTAAATTTGATGTAAAAGTAATTGTTTCTTTTGGTCATTTGATTATCTATCTGTATAAACAAAAACGCCATCAAACATTACACATAATTTTGCCCTGCAAAAGAGTAGAACCACAATTATGGTGAAGGGGCCAATTGACCTAATAAGGCCAAGGTAAGCAGTTAAAACCTTGTGCACCTGTAAATTAATTAATATCTTCCTAACATTATATAGATGTTTTAAAAGAAGCATAATACATGTAAATAGTGTACAAACTTTTTAGCTCACCTGAGCCGAAGGCTCAAGTGAGCTTTTCTGATCAAAATTTGTCCGTTGTCTGTCGTTGTTGTCGTTGTCGTCGTAGTCGTTGTTGTAAACTTTTCACATTTTCATCTTCTTCTCAAGAACCACTGGGCCAATTTCAACCAAACTTGGCACAAATTATCCTTGGGTAAAGGGGATTCAAGTTTGTTCAAATGAGGCGCCATGCCTTTTTCCAAGGGGAGATAATCATGAATTTGTTAAAAATTAATGGCATTTTTAAAAAATCTTCTTCTCCAGAACCGCTAGGCCAGGAAAGATGAAACTCATGTGGAAGCATCCTCAGGTAGTGTAGATTCAAGTTTGTTCAAATCATGACCCCCGGGGCAAGGGTGGGGCCAAAATGGCCGACCCAAGTTTTACATAGGAATATATAGGAAAAATCTTTAAAAATCTTCTACTCCAGAACCACTGGGCCAGGAAAGATGAAACTCATGTGGAATCATCCTTAGGTAGTGTAGATTCAAGTTTGTTCAAATCATGACCCCCGGGGCAAGGGTGGGGCCAAAATGGCCGACCCAAGTTTTACATAGGAATATATAGGAAAAATCTTTAAAAATCTTCTACTCCAGAACCACTGGGCCAGGAAAGATGAAACTCATGTGGAATCATCCTTAGGTAGTGTAGATTCAAGTTTGTTCAAATCATGTCCCCCCGGGGCAAGGGTGGGGCCAAAATGGCCGACCCAAGTTTTACATAGGAATATTTAGGAAAAATTTTTAAAAATCTTCTTCTCCAGAACCACTGGGCCAGGAAATATGAAACTCATGTGGAATCATCCTCAGGTAGTGTAGATTCACGTTTGTTCAAATCATGACCCCCAGGGCAAGGATGGGGCCAAAATGGCCGACCCAAGTTTTACATAGGAATATTTAGGAAAAATCTTTAAAAATCTTCTTCTCCAGAACCACTGGGCCAGGAAAGATGAAACTCATGTGGAATCATCCTCAGGTAGTGTAGATTCAAGTTTGTTCAAATCATGACCCCCGGGGCAAGGATGGGGCCAAAATGGCCGACCCTAGTTTAACATAGAAATATATGAGAAAAATCTTTAAAAATCTTCTTCTGAAGAACCACTAGGACAGGAAAGATGAAACTCATGTGGAATCGTCCTCAGGTAGTGTAGATTCAAGTTTGTTCAAATCATGACCCCCGGGGCAAGGGTGGGGCCAAAATGGCCAACCCAAGTTTTACATAGGAATATATAGGAAAAATCTTTAAAAATCTTCTACTCCAGAACCACTGGGCCAGGAAAGATGAAACTCATGTGGAATCATCCTTAGGTAGTGTAGATTCAAGTTTGTTCAAATCATGACCCCCGGGGCAAGGATGGGGCCAAAATGGCCGACCCAAGTTTTACATAGGAATATATAGGAAATATCTTTAAAAATCCTTCTCAATTACCACTGGGCCAGGAAAGATGAAATTCATGTGGAATCATCCTCAGGTAGTGTAGATTCAAGTTTTTTCAAATCATGACCCCCTGCCCTTGGGATATGGTGGGGCCAAAATGGCCGACTCAAGTTTTACATAGGGAAATATTGGGAAACCTTTTAAAATCTTCTTTTCAAGTACTTCAAAGCTATGATTAGTTATACCCGGGGTATTTATATGGAATCATCCTCAGGTAGTGTAGATTCTAGTTTGTTCAAATGATGAATGCCTGGAAGGGGGGGGGGTAAATTCAAGCCTGATGTGCTCAGGTGAGCGCTGTGGCCCCTGGGCCTCTTGTTAATACATGTACACATAACTTTTGAATTGTAATTGAAACAATACCAATGCCAATTAGATGTTCTACAACTTGATTGATATTTTTCAGATATCAAAGTCCACATTTGTGTGTTCCAAGCATTTTAAGGAAGATGATATTGTAAAAACAATGACAGGTACAAGGCTACAAGCAGCTTCAAAGTTTGAGTTCGTTTGCTGCTACTTTATTAAATTGTTGAGTAAAACGGGTTGGCACATGATCAAATCTTCCATAAAGCCCTTCGGGCTTCATGAGATTTGATCACATGACAAACCCATTTTACATCCCAATAAAACTCAAAAAATGATACCTTATTTCTTAAATAATGCACATAAGTGAGCATTGATCATTTAGATTTATAATAAATTTATGTCAATAAATGTTCAATTCTAAATATATAAACTTTCTGAAAAATCAAGGTGACATTTCTATTTAAAGTTCAAAAATAAAGTTGTAATTTGGAGTCAAGTGCAACAAACATGTAATATTTTAATTTGGAAATAGATAATTAAATATTTTATAATGGTTAAAATTAACATGTCTACACACCTTGTAGGACTAAGAAAATTGAAGAAAGGCACAGTACCAAGTATATTTCCATGGACTAAGAGTGCACCAAGCCGTAAACCACCCAAGAAGAGGGAAGGACCTCCTCAGTAAGATTTTATAAGTCATGATATAAGTTGCAGTATTCATTTTGCTTCTGATAAACAAGGAATGCTGCATTTGTATTATTTAAGCACTGAGTTGTAAATTTTGATGTCCATCATGTCACAACATGGACAGCTGTGCTCACAAACTGAGTTACATGCATAAGCACATACGTATCATGTGTTTGTACAGCTGGTCATGTTAGGGAATGATGGACATGAAAATGGACAGTTCGGTACTTATATTACCATTTAAATAATAAATACAGCTTGAATAATGCACACCATACCTGTGCAAGGCCATAGTAAATAAAAACCTAGATTCTCATCGTCGTCTCAAATTTGAAAAAAAATCTGTTTTCTTAGTCTTAATTCAGATCAGGATCGGTAAGCAACTAGTACTGTAGATCACTAGACACCTTATTTTTGCGAGATAGTCATTGACTCTTGATAAGCGAGACACAATTTTCACGAATTGTGGTTCGTATCTGTATTATCCTAAGGAATACTATTATACGCGAGAATTAAATTTTCGCAAGCACACTCTCGCGTAATTACGTGAAAATAAAGTTCTTGCGAATAAATAGTGATTTACAGTATTCAACTTTCGTTCTCTATATCCCCCATCTGTCAGTGTGATTTTCATGTCTGTTAAGATCATTACACAGAATCATCAGTAGTTGTGAAAGACTCCTGATGCGAGATGATGTATAGTAAGAGATAAACATATTTAAATTGACCTCTATTATAACTATGACTTTTAGATGTATAACAAAGATATATATCTGACAACAGATATAACGCTTAAATCTGCACCATTTGATAAGGTCAAAAAATAACTGTATAATGGAAGAAATGACAAAAAAATTTTTATGAATTCCACTACCTGCCTCAATTTCAAAAAAAAATTGGATGAGAATCGAGTTTTTTAATTTATTAAATCCTTATCATAGGTTATTGGCTGATTATTGTGCCATTGTGATAGCTCACCTGAGCAGACGGAAAGCTCAAGTGAAATTTTCTGATCAAATTAACAGGCCTTTCGATCGCTTTAAACAATTGTGTGTGTAAAAAAAATATAGGTATTGAACTCATACACTGGGTACCCTATTTCTTTTTTATTTTATTCAAATGCTCTAAAATTCTACTTTCTATTCAAATCTATTCATAGATAAACATTCCTTCATTTCTACCAAAGCTCACTCCGAAATTCCATATACAGTACTTTTAGAGATATTCTAAAATCAATTTCAAAAATGACCTACTTTCTTTTATTTGACATTAGCTTAATTGGGCCCCTGGTCATTCACATGTACACAGATGATGTTTAAAGTGCAGCGAAGAGTTGCAAAGTATTTGAAAAATTTTTCAACAATTCAAAGTTGATTTCTTACTCCAGATTGTAAGGTTAAGTCAGTAGTAATTCCTTTTGCGAAAAATTAATTTAAAAACATTTGCATCAACAACTGCACAGTCATGTTGATTAAGAATGTGAATGAAGCCATGGTAGAACAAATATTTTCCGGAATGCATTGTTTACCTTTCAATTTTCAAAACATTTAGACCGCTAAAATGTTTTTTGTGACTTAGTAATATCATATGATCAAATTAGAGAAAACCTTGTAAAGCTTGAATGCAAATTATGAACAAATATTTATTGAGTTTAGAATAAATTCTGGGAAACATTTGTCCCATCGTTCCCACTTTACAATTAGTGTAGCTCAGCCTCTTCTAAGGCCTAAGCTAATGTTGAGTAAAAAAATTGAGGTCAATTTTGGAATTGATTTCAGAATATCTCGAGAAGTATAAGGAATTCTGGGATGAACTTTGGTAGTAATGAAGATTGTTTATATTTGAATTGATATGGAAAGAAGGTAAAATTGTAAAGCATTTGATTTAAAAGAATTTTATTCGCGAAAAAAGGTACCGTATGAAAAAGAGTTTCATACCTTTATTTTTTTTTCAACACCTTAATTTTTTTTGTAAAGGCCTGTGATCAAATTTGTCTATTATCTGTCATTGGTGTTTGTTGTCATTACAAATAATATTCACATTTTCTTTCATTGAGCTAGTTTCAACCAAACTTGGCACATGCATGTACAATCCTTGGGCGAGGGAAAACCCAAGTTTTTTACTTCCAAGGGGAGATAATTAAGAAATAGTCAATGAAAATTGTTGGATCCTTTAAAAATCTCAAAAAAACAGAAGCCACAAAAATGAAACTTGCGTGAAACCTTATTGATATAAAATACTATAGATTCTTATATTTAGACACTTTTTCTCCAGATAAATCTGTATTGGTACCAATGGATTATGGTATTATCTGGATGTGTAAATGTTAGTGAAAAGTATGTCATGAAAATTATTTCTACATGCAATATTGTGTCTGACCGCAAACTTTTTCTTTTATCAATTTTGTATGTAGTGAAGCTTGCATGGAACCACTGACTTGTAAAAAGTATTGCATTTTGTGATCAAATGATTCATAAAGGTCTAGGAATGTGCAAGATTTTTAAGTCCCAATGACATATAGCTGAGTTTTCAAGATTCTACTGTATCAAAATAAAACATTGCTATGTATAATATTTTACATGTATTATAATACATATTGATCTTTTCAGAGAAGAAACATCAATTATTAAGAAGCAGAAAACATCATCGTCAATCTCGTTAGACACAGACCAACATTCGTCATCAACTGCAACATGTGCCAATGACACTTCAACAGATATGCCATCTGAAGAGCATGACTACTGTCGCCAAGCACCATCTCTTGAAGAAGATCTTGAGGTAATACATGGATCATGTAGTTCCTTTGATCTTGGGGGCCAATTCTAACAAATTTGGTACAAGGCATACTTGGGCAAAGGAAAATTAAATTTTTAATATGAAGGCCAAATCTCCTTCTGAGGGGAGAAAATCAAGAAAAGGCAAACATAGGGTGGGGTGAATTATAAATCTTCCCAAGAACCTTTGGGCCAGAAAAGCTGAAACTGATGTGGGAGCATCCTGGGGTAGTGTAGATTCTAAATTAAACAAATCATGACCCCCCAGGGAAGGGTGGGGCCACAATAGGGAATCCTAATTTTACATTGAAATATATGAAGGAATTTTTTTTTAAAAAAAATCTCAAGAACCATTAGGTCAGAAAAGCTAAAATTTATATGTGGAAGCATCCAGCGGGAGCAGTGTAGATTCTAAATTAACCCCCGGGAATAGGATAGGGCAATAATAGAGTATCCAAGTTTTACACAATAGACAGTACAAGGGGGAAATCTGTCAAAGAACAGAATGGACCAAATTATTCAGGTGAGTGATGTGGCCCATGGGCCTCTTGTTTATAAAAACCACAATGGAAATCTTATCAATTAACACAGTTTAAAAGAAAACCACCTATATAGATTTTTTAGCAGCATCTGTTCCATCAAAGAAACATCCAATGATGTGCATTCAATAATATAATTAATGTTTCATCATGTAAATAATACTGTATACAGTTGCTCATACAAATTTAATAAAAGAAGAAAATGTCTCTGTGATATTGTGGTAATGTTGATATTAATTTTGAATAGATAAACCATGTGCATATATCCCTCACTGTGTAATACATGTACTATATTGCAGGCCATGAAGATACAAATTTCGAAACTAGAAGAAAGGGTACAGCACCTTGAGAAGAAAGTAGAGAAGTTCGGAATTGAAAGATTTTCCAAAGATCCAAATTTGATAAATTTTTACACTGGTTTTTCAACTTATGATATTTTTTGTGCTGTATATAATGTTGTTGAGCCAACAGCTTCAAATATGATCAGGTGGTCACAAGTTCAGAGAAATAAGAACATTGTTTGTAATCCTTTTAGAGAAGAGTCTTTGTCAATTGTAGATCAATTTTTCATGTTTTTATGTAGAATTAGACAAGGTTTTTTTTAAGAAGATTTAGCACAACGTTTTTGTGTGTCTCAAAGCACTGTTAGTCGTATCATTATTACTTGGAGTAATTACTAGTATTGTATTTTGGGATGTTTACCCATATGGCCAGATTTAGATGTTGTTAAACAGAATATGCCAGAATGTTTTAAGACTAATTTTCCCAATACACGAGTTATTTTGGATTGTACAGGAATACGTGTGCAGACTCCAAGTGCCAAAGTACTTAACTCTCAGTCATATTCAAATTACAAGTCTCATACTACCTTTAAAGGCTTGATTGGTATAACCCCTCATGGTGCTGTATGTTTTGTTAGCAGATTATTTACTGGAAATATTTCTGATAAAGATGTAACACAAAGAAGTGGTATACTTGATCTATTAGAACAAGGTGATGATGTGATGGTTGATGGTTTTTTAATCAAAGATGTACTTGACAGTGTTGGTGCACACTTGATTATTCCACCTTTTTTAGGAAATAAAGTTAAATTTAGTAAGGATGAAGTTACTAAAACTCAGCAAATAGCAAGACTAAGAATTCATGAGCTATCAGAAGGTGTAAAGAGTACCATATTTTTGATAATGTTCTGCCATTGTCTGTTGCTGGGACTGTAAACCAGATTTGGTCTGTGTGTTGTTTATTAACAAATTTTAAAGAAAAGTTATTTTGACAGTTATATTTTCAATTGTTTGATGTTATAGTTTATGTATGTGTCATGTAAATGAACATCATCTGCATATTTGATATACCAGACATGTACAAGTGAGAAGGTACACATACCTGTATATATTCAAAACAGAAACATGGCTTTAGTGCACAACACTTTTTTCCTTTGCATGCTTTGGGAAATTGATTTTTATTTGTAAATTTCATTGATATGTTTTCAAGTGATACAGATCTTTTTGGGAAAAAAAATTAATACCATGAGATTTTATCTAGGTTTGGGTAAATTTGAAAATCTAATACAGATATTTTAAAATTTGATTTAAGTACAATTTTTTTTAAATTATACTGTAGATGCAATGCTATCATAATTACGTTTGGTAATCAACGCAATTGCAATTTTATTAAGATTTACATTGCATAAATTTTTCTTTTTTTTTTCGTATGAACATAAATGACAACTGTTTTGAAAAGGACAACGTTTTGAACAAATTTGGATTTGAACAAACTTGAATCTACACTATATAAGGAAGCTTTTGCCTCTTATGGCTATTACAGTGGTTTTTTTTTAAGTATAAAAAAATAATGATGCCAAATTTTCATTCTTTCCCAATCATCTCCCCATTACGTACATGTATAGAGAGAATGGGGTACTTCATTTATAATAAACAGATGACAGACTCTTTTTAATCAGAAAAAAGCTTATTTGAACTTTTGGATAAACAAAATTAACAAAGAAACTGAACAAACGAAAATAACAGCATGCATGTACTCACATGTACAATTTTTTTCTTTTTATGATCCATCATAGATGTTATTTTCAGTATCGAACACATTTTGGTAAAAAGTAATTGAAGTAAAATATGTCAAGTTTTTGTTTGATTTCCTGCCACTTTCCTGGTACAAAGTTAATTCTTTCCAGATGGTAGTCATCTTTACACCAAATGTACAAATCGTACCACAAAGCACCGGTCAAACCCATTTGACCCATTATCTGATAATAATATTCATGGGAGGATTTTAGTTTGTAGCTGTTATTCACAAGAGTTAAATATTTTAAATTTGTGATAGAATCTGCATTTGGACAGTCATTTAATTTCTAAGAGTCCATACATAGGAACAGAGTTGGGGTCTATGACTTTCCTGTCAGGAGAAGTTCCCAGATAATAACATGAGGGATTAATGACTAAGCCTGCTTTAAACACATTATTTCCTGTTAAAGTGGCGTATGCTTCTGCTGCCTCCTGTTCGTGTTCAAGTCCAAATTTCATTGCTGCTGTTTGAATTTTGTTACTTTTTAATAATGCGTCAGCGAAAGTTTCAAAATCTTTTTTTCCGTGAACAAACTCTTTTAAATGTAGATGAAGTAATTCTGTGTTTTCTTGCTGAATTCCAATAGGGATTTTTAGACTGTTCAATTGTATTTTATTCAATGTCATCAGAATCAGTTTTTGACACGGCAAGTCCATCATAAACATTTTGTTCACCAAGATTTAGAGCTGTATTAAAAGTCTGATCAAGAATAGGTAAATTATAACCAGGAAAAGTAGGAAACGCAGGATTGTTTATAATTGTATCGTTACTTTCGTCAAATTTCTTTTGCTGATAAGAAAGAAGGGAACCTTTAGGCACTGGTCAAACTTTTGATTCAATAGTCTCAATGGAATTAATTTTTGAGGAAGGTGGCAGTATGGTTTTACATTGAGCATTTGTTGCCATTATATTTTGATTCAATGATTCCAAAATGTTCTGATATGGTATAGGTTGCTGAATGGGACAATAAAATTTTGATTTCACACCATCTGTTCTTTTTATTTTTTTACAGGTAGTTTTCTGAATATGTACATCCTCAACTGCTTCAGGACGGATACCCTCTAACCGTTGGGGTATATGCCATGTTTGTGGCATTGATGTCTTAGACTTGACACATGGCACTGTCGTTAAACCAAGCTTTTGATAGTGAGCTAATGTGTACATAAGGCCTAAAATATGGCTGCAATGTCCAGAGCCTGCTTTACATGTGCAGTTAGAACTTTCAACATTGGTACAAGCTGCAGCTTTTAGGGCAATTTGTAAATTATGTGGGGGATCATTTTTCCTCATAGAAAGAAAGCACTTGGCTCTAATACAAGCACCAGTGCCCCCTGATGTACATGGTCTCACTGAAACAATAGAAGAAGCTTACTTAGCTTCCTTGTAAATGAAAATTGATGAGGAAATGGAAATAAAAACAACCAAGGACAAAATGAAACATTTCAAGAAATTATTAGAAATTTGGACAAATAAAATGAAATAAAAATGAATAAAAGAGATTGAAAACCAGGTTGGGATTTATTTGCACTACATAAGTAGGAAAGCAAAAGATTCAGATGATCTCTTTTTTAATTTATACATATATTGAATGTAAATTTAAGCTATATAAAGACTTGAAATTGAAATTGCCAGATTTCTTGGTATATAATGTTACACCTCTACAGGACTTTGACATTTGTGAATATATGGTAGTGTGGAACGTGTTATATGTACATATTGACTAGGTTTTTTAAGAGGAAAAAAATAGGGGAAAAAATAACCCTGATGCAGTGCATAAATTCTAAATTAATTGTTGTCTCTGGCCTCTTCAACATACATTTTCCAAAGGATTGCTTCTTTAAATCTGCATGTATATTCACTTTATATCCTAGTATTCACAATGAAAATATTGAAATCTATTGATCTAAATCATAATCAAAGCATGTCTTTCATTCTTTGAAAGTATATAGCACATGTATATACATGTGTGCATTATTCAATCTGATTGATAGTACACCTGTACATGTGCAGGCATTGAAAATGCAATTGCAAACACATGTATATAATTTATACACAATAATATTTATTACATGTAATTTAAATAAAGCATTCCAACCAATACTAAAACCAAGACATCACGTACCTCGCAACAAGGTTGATAAATAAAAGGTTAGGAGTCCTAGCTAAAATTTGAAATGTGTTTGTATATGTGTTCATGTATTTGAATTTAGTTTATATAGTACCCCCGGTAAGCATTTACATGTAGTAACCATCAAATTAAAGTGCTGTATTAGTATATATGCATACCAAATGTTAAAACAGTGCTTTGTTCACATTTAAAATTCTATGTTCTATTAATGAAATGCCTTGCAATTTTCAAAAGGAAAAAATCTATCAAAATACAGGAATATCAAGACATATGAATAATAATTAAAAACCAAAAAAAAAAAAGGAAGAAAGAAAAGAAAACAAAGACATATATCAAATGAAAATAGTTTAAATTTATTTATTAACAAAATAAAAAAGTAATGTGTTTATAAATGACACAAAGTAAATAATCACAGTATCGATAACGTCTATGTTAAATGGACTTCATTCTTTGATAACTATATAAGCCACGCCCACTTTAGTGTACGTAAATTTCACATAACGTGGACATAAATTTCTTAGTTTATATTCTTTTTTTCTTTAAAAATGATAACTAAATGTATGTATTCTCTACTTGTGGTGTATATTTATTGTCTTCCATTCAATGAATTTCAGTAAGAATGACAGATATCAGCGTAAAAAATTCTATGAATGCTGTCCGATGGTCCTTCGTAAAATTGTAAACAAACCTTCAATATCATGAACATATCCTTCAGCAAAATTGCTGTATCCTCTTTTGAGAGATTTATTCGGGATTTTTGATGTGGTAGACCAGGCCGATATTACATCGTCGGTTATCCTTGGTACGCTTGCGAGAGAGCGCGTCCACGCAGGATGACCTTCGCCGCACTTCGCCATTTTCTCGTAGTGAAGGACGCTAGTTTGTCAGGTCAGCCTCGGTTTCGTATTTTAATGGCGGACGCGTGAATAGAGTCTATTGATTCATTTTAAAAATGTCTGTAATCAGCCTGTAATTGATTACTTTTAAAATCCAAAGTAATTGTAATTTAATCGATTACTTTTGAAAGAAATCAACCCCATCCCTGCTTGAGTGATGGGGAATTCAAATTGTCAAAAGGAAGGGCCAAGTCTCCTTACAAGGGGAGATAATCAAGAAAAGATGAAAATAGGGTCATTAAAAATCTTCCTCTTAAGAACCACTTGGCCAGAAAAGTTGAAACTTATGTGGAAGCATCCTGGGGTAGTGTAGATTCTAAATTATTAAATCCATGACCCCCAGGGGTAGGATGGGGCCACAATAGGGAATCTAAGTTTTATTTATAAATATAGGAAACATCTTTAAAAATCTTCTCCTCAAGAACCACTGGGCAGAAAACCTGACACTTATGCAGAAGCACCCTTGGGTAGTGTAGAATCTAAATTGCTAAAACCATGACCCCAGGGGGTAGGGCGGAACCACAATAGGGAACCCAAGTTTTACATTGAAATATGTAGAGAAAATCTTTAGAAATCTTCTTCTCAATAACCAATGGCAAAGACAAAAATGCAAATTAGTATCCTTGGGAAATGAAAATTCAAAACTATTAAAATTATGACCCCTGGGGATACTAAGGGCGGGGTCACAGTAAGGGATCCTAGTTTTACATAGAAATGCATACGAAAAATTCTCTAAAAATCATTTTCTCAAGAATCAACAGGCCATAAAAGCTGAAACTTGTGTTGAAGCATCATGGGGGTAGTGTTAAATCATGAGCCCCGGGGATAGGGCGGGTGGTGCCTCATTGACACAATAGGGAATCCACGTTTAACATAGAAATATATAGAAAAAAAATTAGAAA